CGCTCATGGTCACCCCGAGAGGGTAGACACGCTCAGGTGAGCAGAACAAGGAGCCCCTACGTGGGTGGCAGGTGGGCAAAAGAGAAATGGGGAACGGTACAGGACCATTTGTTATGCACCTGCTGTTTGCCAAGGCTGCCTGCTTCGTCCTTGTCCGCTGCTTCTGAGTGCACTGTGGCCGGGTGGTGTGCCAGTGCCACGGCTCTCTCTCCTGCTCCCTGCTCCCTGGGCACGTGGAGCTGACTTTGGAGTCGCGGCTTTCTTCCTCCTTGCTTCCAGAGCCCTGAGGTCAGGTGACGTCAGGTACTTTTCTGCTTCTGTTCTGAGTCCTTTGAAGACAGCCAGGTGAGGGGACCAGGGCCAGCCCTCCTCCCGGCTCACCTGCGCAGCCTGACCTGGCTGTGTTGTCTCTAAGAGGTGGTTTGGATGCCCAGGAGTGGGGACTTCAGACCTTGTTGGCGGCTGCTTGTGTGTTTGGTTTCTGTTGATCGTGTTTAGTTTATTTGTTTTGCCTGCTAAGGCAGCGAGCATGTTTCCAGAGGCGCTCCCAGGTTCTGCCGTGGGAGAACAAGCCGGAACATTTTGTCTCTGTGGTACTCAGTAGCCACTGCTGGGGACACCAGAGGGGGCAGGGAAGCCTGTGCCGCTATGGGGAGTGGGGCGGCAGAGACGGCACGGTCAGTGTGCTCAGTGGGTGTGGACGAGGACCCAGCAGGGATCAGTGTGCTCAGTGGGAGGTGCTTCTGCAGCCGGCTGCCTGCTGTAGACGAGGACCCAGCAGGGAGGGGCGGTCCGGGGCGCCAAGCCGAGCGTGGCAGGTGCGTGCCTTCGTGGTCTTGGAATCACCAGGCAGGCACTGAGGCGATGAGTGCTGGGAGCGGACGCCAGCCTTGTCCAGGTGGGGGTGGCTTGTGCAGTGGCTGTGGTGCCATTGTTGAGTCCGTGGGCTGAGCACTCCACACGTACATGTTCTGGTTCTCAGAATGTCACGGAAAGACAGGAGTTAAGTAGCGCGTTCTGTAAATGGAGAGCCAGGGTCCAGATCGTCCAGCTGTGACCGGGAACACACCGGCAGGACGAGAGGACGTCTCGGTCATCCGACTCGAGTGGGAGTCCCTCTTGCACAGTGTGGCTCTGTGGCAGGAAACGTGAGGGCCTGCTCCCCTCTGCTCCCCTCCGCGCCCCCTGCCCTGCGCCACTCAGGATCACAGACGCAGGCGTCCGGCAGCCTCCCTGAGCCCCGTACCTGTGGGAGGATCCGTGCTCCTGGGACGTCCATGAGTGTGGGCCCCTCTGTCTTGGATTTGTTTCTTACTATTGTCCTGTAGCTTTTTTTTTTAAGATTTTTTTTTAAGATTTGTTTATTTATTTGAAAGGCAGAGTTAGAAAGAAAGTTCACTCCCCAAATGGCTGCAATCGCTGGCGCTGAGCCAATCCATAGCCAGGAGCCAGGAGCATCTTCCGGGCCTCTCACACAGGTGCAGGGGCCCAAGCACTTGGGCCATCTGCTGCTGCTTTCCCAGGCCACATCTGGATTGGAAGTGGAGCAGCTGGGACTCAAACCTGTGCCCAGATAGAGTACCGGCACTGCAGGCAGTGGCTTTACCCGCTATGCCACAGCGCCAACCACTCATTTGGGTTTTGGTCACTGAGTCGCTTGTTTCAGTTCAGACTGAAGAAGGCTCTGGGGGCCACCAGGGCAGCCTCAATGGTGGGAAACCTGCTGCCGCCATGGCAGACTGGTGCTCTGGCCATGTGGCCTGGTGGGCAGTGTGGCCGTGGGTCAGTGCAGCCTGGGGTCCAGAGCTGCCCGGGGGTCAGTGCTCTGACCTCCCACCCGGCACGCTCCCTGGCAGTAGGGTCACTCTGTTTCTAACAGAGCAGAGACCCCTCTTCAGTGTCTCTCCATCCTCCTCCTCCCCCTACATCCTCTCCTCATCTGCCCCATAGCAGGACTGACAGCCCTGTCTCCTGTTAGTTTGCTGTTGCTTAGCAACAGAAGGTCCCGAACAGGAGTGGACTTCAGCGGGAGTTTGCTCAGACGTTGCGTGCTCTGTGGGTGCAGTGTCAGGTCCCCTGTGGTATGGGACCACTCGTGGCTTCCAAAGGTAAAGGCCAGGGTGAGCGCAGGGGTCAGTAGAGCCCCGAGGGCAAGTCCAGCCGAGCTGGGATTCGTATCTGGGGTCCCTGGGATGCCGGAGCTGCTGAGAGAGGCCCTTCTCTGGCACAGCCCCCACAGTCGGCCCCTGGCCCCCGCCGGCTGCTGGGTGTGCACAGGGCCTTTGCAGGTGCCCTGTTCAACTTGCAGGGTACACAAAGTGCTCTCGGCGTCCGCTGGGTCTGAAGCCTGGCCTGGGGTCACTCGTGGATCAGAGCCATGTGACTTTGCGGCCACCTCCCCCTGGGCGGGGCCGCTGGCAGCCTCAGTGGACAGGAGTGGGGCAGCAGAGCACCCGTGCTTCCGGGTTCTGGGCCCACACTGCCTCCTGCAGCACAAGGCGTGCATTGTCCTCAAGCCCTTGTAGCAAACAAGCAACGGCCCCCTCGGGGTCTGGCGTGAGGCTGGACCGAGCAAGGGGTTGAAAAGGCGTGTCCGCTTGCCCTGTCTTAGGTGTTCAGTGGACAACAGGCTTCAGGACTGGCCAGGGCCGGTCCTGACAGGACTTCCCGCAGCCCCACTTCCTGGCGCAGCTGGAACAGAATGGAAGCCTGGGGCACTCGGTGCAGCACGGGGAGCTTCTGGGACCCTGCCCCGCAGCCTGGACCCTGAGCACGGCAGGACGTTCCGTCTGCAGCCTGGGACCCTCGCTCGGGGCAGGGCCAGGTCCCGAGCCTGCTGGGAGGCGTGCCCCAGACAGCTGGACTGTTGTGGAATGCCAGCAATTTCACAGGCCAGGCAGCAGGGAGGGGGAGGCCAGCTCCGCCCACGCAGGGGGCTCCTGCTGGGACACGCCCTCTGTGGCTGGGCTCCCAGTCCCTGGATGCCACAGCCGCGCTGTCATCAGTAACAGCGGACGGTCAGCTCCTCCTGCCCACAGCGAGGCACTGGGTTGGGTTCTCCTGTCATTCCCCACGGCCACACGGGTCAGCCTGAAGGGGTGTGTGGTCCTGACACCTCATCGGGCCCCTGTGGGACCCCAGGATGCTGTGCTAAGCAGGTGGCCGGGGTCCGCTCTCGCACTTCCCTTGCGCTGTGTTCTGGCCGCGGATGGGGTGGTCTTGAGAGGGCGGCACGCAGTGTGTCTCGGGAGAGCAGTTTGCTGGGGGTTGGCGCGCTGAGCTGGGCTCATGTCCACAGTAATGAGGACCTGAGCGGCCGGCAGCGGGAGTCCCACTGGGAGAGGTCCCAGAGCTTTTCTCTCGGGCAGTGTCGGCGAGGAACGGTGGGCGCGATTCGCACCTGAGGACGATGGGTGTTTGCGTTTTTTCTGCTGGTGTTCACTCTGCTGCGATGAACGCAGGGGGTGGGTAGGTAGATGATACACAGAGATAGATACGTGTGTACACATGCATGCAGACACATACTACATGTACATAGGTGCACACAGATACGTGTAGGTGCACACACAGATACACACATGCGTATAGATACATACATGCATGTAGATACACACAGTGCACGAATGCAGATAACACATACATGCATGTAGGTGCATGCATATACGTGCATAGATGCATGTATCTATGTACACACAGATAGTACATACATGTAGGTGCACACAGATGCACGTGTCCATCCATACATGCATGTAGACCTGCATGCATATGCACACGTGTAGGCAGATGCACATATACATAGATAGATAGACACATGTGTGCGTGCAGATACAGATACATAGGTGCATGCACAGAGATGCACGCATGTAGAGTGTGCATACACATACTACACACATGCACGTGTACAGAGATGCATGCATGCACACATAAATACACATGCAAGTAGATACATGGATAATACATGGAGCATGGACATGAAGGTTCACACATGTAGACAGATGAATGTGTAGATAGATGCATGCATACATGTAGATACATGAATACATGGGTAGATGCATACACGTGCATACATACAGATAGAATTGACAGGATACATAGGATAGATACATCTGTACATGTAGATAATAAATGGATACGTGCTTATATACAAACATAGAACTGATAGGCTAGATACATACGTATACATAGATGTACACTATGTACACACATACTTAGAAGAGACAAGATAGGTACGTGTGTACATGTAGATAATGTATACATACTTAATACCTACAGATGAATTAGCTAGGGTTGATGAATGGATAGGACAGACAGGGAGGGAGGGCGTGGGAACCCAGCAGAGCTACCATCCTACTGCCGTGTGCTGCTCCCAAGGGCCCGTGCAGCTGCCCTGTCCCCACGCTGACCACCTCTTCCCCTCCCCGACGAGTGCCCTGTCTGTCCCCACACTGACCGCCCCTCCCCCTCCCCCTCAAGTGCCCTGCCCCATGCTGACCGCCCCTCCCCCTCCCCCTCGAGTGCCCTGCCCCCACGCTGACCGCTCCCTCCCCCTCCCCCACAAGTGCCCTGCCCCATGCTGACCACCTCTCCCCCTCCCCCTCGAGTGCCCTGTCCCCACGCTGACCGCCTCTCCCCTCCCCATGAGTGCCCTGTCTGTCCCCACACTGACCCCCTCTCCCCCTCCCCCACGAGTGCCCTGTCTGTCCCCACACTGACCACCTCTTCCCCTCCCCATGAGTGCCCTGTCTGTCCCCACACTGACCACCTCTTCCCCTCCCCGACGAGTGCCCTGTCTGTCCCCACACTGACCCCCTCTCCCCCTCCCCCACAAGTGCCCTGCCCCATGCTGACCACCTCTTCCCCTCCCCCACGAGTGCCCTGTCTGTCCCCACACTGACTCCCTCTCCCCCTCCCCCATGAGTGCCCTGCCCCATGCTGACCGCCCCTCCCCCTCCCCCTCGAGTGCCCTGCCCCCACGCTGACCGCCTCTCCCCTCCCCACAGTGTTGCACACGCACGGCCCCGTGGATGGCAGCCTCTATGCCAAGGTGAGGAAGAAGAGCACCTCCGACCCCGGCATCCCCAGCGGCCCCCAGACGGGACCAGCCGCTGGCAGCCCGGAGCACGGCGAGCACACACTGTCGGTCAGCAGCGACTCGGGCCATTCTACCGCCTCGGTCCGGACCGACAGGACGGAGGAGCGGCCGGCCCCGGGCGGCAGGAGGGGCCTGAGCCCCCAGGAGAAGGCGGAGTTGGACCAGCTTCTCCGCGGCTTCGGCCTGCAGGAGCCGGGGCCTGCCCTCAAAGACATGGCCGACGCGCACAGCCAGGGCAGCGGGACGCGGCTGGTGGTGCCGGCCCAGGTCCACGTGAACGGGGACGCCGCGCTGAAGGAGACCGACATCCTGGACGACGAGATGCCGCACCACGACCTGCACAGCGTGGACAGCCTGGGCACCCTGTCCTCCTCGGAGGGGCCGCCGGCCCCCCTGGGCCCCTTCCCCTGCCACAAAAGCAGCCAGAACTCCCTCCTGTCCGATGGCTTCGGCAGCCACGTGGGCGAGGAGCCGCTGTGTGCGCTGACCCCGGAGCTGGGCCTCGGCGTGGACGGCCTCTACGAGCGGGAGCGGACGTTCGGGGGCCGGGAGCCCAGGCAGCCGCCGCCGCCTCTGTGGAAGCCCTCGGTGTCAGCGCAGACGCAGGCCTACGGACCTGACGGCTACTCCACGCAGACCTGGGTGCGCCAGCAGCAGATGGTGGCCGCCCATCACTATGGCCTTGCGCCCGCCGGGGAGGCCAGGCTCGTGGGCCGCGGCACTGCAGACAGCCCCAGCCTTATCCAGGCACAGCCCAGCGTCCAGGTCTCCCCCAGCCGCACGGCCAGCAGCCGGGTGACCGCCCAGAGGGGCACTGGCACTGGACTGTGTGCACGCGACTCCCAGCTGCCGACACCCAGGAGTGCAGGGGACAGGGTCGTGAATGGAGCTGGCCAGGAGCTGGGTGCAGGCCCCTCCCCGGGCTCCCCGACCCTGGACATCGACCAGTCCATCGAGCAGCTCAACAGGCTGATCCTGGAGCTGGACCCCACCTTCGAGCCCATCCCTACCCACATGAACGCCCTGGGCGGCCCGGCCAGCGGCCCCGTGTACGTGGACGGCGTGGGAAGTGCGCTCCGGGCTGGCGGCAGGCTGCAAGGTGAGACAGACACGCTGTCTCGCTGAGTGTGAGACCCCCTGAGGGGGACATTTCCCTCGTGGTTTCTGCCATTAGGGTTTCAGACCCGGGAATCTGAGAGCACTGTGGGGGGTCCCAAGGGTCCCCAGTGTCAGGCCGGGAGGGAGGGGCGAGTCCGGGAAAAGCCTTCCTCAGGGTGGGTGCGTGACAGGGATCAGGCCCGGCCCACCGAGGGGCCAGCCGAGTGCACACATCACATGTGGAGGTCTTGGCCAGGCAAGACCAGGAGCCGGCCCAGCACCGGCTGTCTGGGCGGTTGTGGGCGGGTCCCTGACTCCTCTGAGTTTCCACATCTGAGGGTGGGTTAGTGGGGCAAGCAGACGCGCCGTGGGTGAGTGCCAGTGTCCTGGGGGCTGACGGGAAGAATGGAGAGGGCAGCAGGGCCCCTGAGACAGCCTCATGGGGGCAGGGATGGGGGTAAGCGTTGGTGTTTAAAATGCCCGGATCACACCCACAGCTGCAGGTTGGCCACGTGGTGTGGGAGACCATTCATGGAGGCTACAGCTCTGGCAGAGGCCTGGGGGGCATTGCCAGGGTGGGGAGGGTCCTGCAGGTGAGAGGCGTTCCCGAGAGCAGAGGCCAAAGCCAGCAGAGGTGGGAGCATGGGAGCCGAGGAGGGGACTTACTGGGGGAAGCAGGCTCGGGTGTGGGGCCGAGTTCAGCTGTGGTCCAGAGCCGTGAGCCAGGAACAGTGGGGTGTCGGGTTCTGGAGTCATGTGCGCTCTGCAAAGTGGGCGGGGCTAGCTGACCACAGGGCAGCGGGCGGGCGCTGCAGGCTCGGGTTAGCATGCTGTGGCCGTGTGTTCTAGCTGGCTGAGCTAGGTTGCAAAGCTGAGCCCTCCAAGGCCACTCCTGTGTTTCACCCTCAGATTGGCTAATTGTGAAACAACCTGATGGGCTCATTTTGAGAACCAGAATTTCGCTTTTGCTTTTGGACCTTCCTCAGTTCTTTTCCTCATAAGAGAACTGCAGTTTTGAAACGCGAAGACTTCGTATTAGCAGCAGCCGGGAACGTTGGGTGCACGTTTGGTCATCGCCATGCAGGTTGCGGGTCTTTGTTCCTCCCTCTAGGTCTGTCGGGGCTCTCGGGCCGTCTGCCCGTTGTTTCCGTGCTGTGAGAACTGCAGAGGTCAGACGTGGGTGTGAGCACGCGGGATTCCAGTCCACGGAGACCCGTGTGCAGTTCAGAAAGGCCCAGCTCATTGGGAGACCTGCAGCTGGGAGCCATCCGGTGGACGCTGACGGGACAGCCGAGCACCGGGGCCCGGCAGAACAAGGCGATCCCTCCCTTGGAGCCGGCCCGCCCCAGCGCCCCGTGGGCAGGAGCACGCCTCACACCGCTGTTGGCGTAAAGGGGCCGGACAGGGTTCAGTGGCCTCCGAGCAGCCTGCACGGCCGGCTCTTGGATCTCAGAACAGGGCCTCTCGTCTCCATAGCGACCCCAGCAAAGAACATTGATGTTGTAGGGCTCAGCCCATTTGACGAGTGGGGCGGGGAAGTCCCCCCTCCCTGCAAGTGCAGGCAACGCCGGAGCCCTTTTGATCCAGAAATCTAAAATTTGTTTTTATTTTTATGTACTTCAAATTCAAGGCAGAGTTAGGGATCTTCCACCTGCTGGTTCACTCCCTAAATGGCCGCAGTGGCTGGGACTGGGCCAGGACAAAGCCAGCAGCCAGGAGCTTCATCTTGGTCTCCCACATGGGTGTAGGGCCCAAGCAGTTGAGCCATCTTCCACAGCTTTTTCCAGGCCATTAGCAGGGAGCTGGCTCTGAAGTGGAACAGCCGGGACTTGAACCTGTGCCCATATAGAATGCTGGCATTGCAGGTGGCATTGCAGGTTGCTGGCTACGCCACAACACTGGCCCAGGAATCTAAATTTCTCGAGTGGATGGGGCTGGCCTAGAAAGCAACAGAAAGGGAAAATCAGGACGAGCCCACAGGGAACCTCATCAGGGCCCGCTGGCCAACTCAGAAGGCCTGGGGGTGCTCCATTTCCACTGCTGGCCTGCAGGAGGCAGTCAGGGTCCCGTGCGTGCACCCCCAGTTCCATTGTGCTGACTGGGAAGGGACCCAGCAAGGCCAGCACACTGTGATGTGCCCAGGACAGTGCCATCACCGTGTCCACCTGCATGTTGACGGGCGGCCATGCCTGGCCGGAGCCCGCCTGAGTCTCCCTCACGCGGGAGGACAGCAGGGTTGGAAGTCTCCAGAGCGCCCGGCCTTCTCCAGGAGGGACCCCCGCTGGCCAGCCGTCCCCACCCGGATGCCGACGGGCGCTCAGCTTTGGTTCTGCTAAGACTTCGGCATCCCGAAGTCACTGAAGCCCGCCACCATGTGCAGGCCGTGTCCTGAACGTGGAGGGGGCCAGGAGTTGGGTTGGGGGTTGGGCATGGTATTGCCCAGGTCCTCCTGGACCCGGCGGTGTGTCCTGCAGAGCTGGGCAGCTCGGTGTCACACCAGCAGGCCCCTCAGATCTGGTTCTTGGTGGGAAGGCAGTTCCACGTGGAGGTTGAACATTTCCTGAGAGTCTCTCGCGGTTCAGCACCGTAACGCAACGGTGATCTTGGAGGGGACGGTGGGGAGGACGGAGATGGAGGTGACGGTGATGGTTTTCTTCAGGGTGATTGATTGATTTGAAAGAGAGAGAGAGAGGGGAGACAGAGATCTCCCATCTGCTGGTTCACTGGAGATGGCTGCGACAGCTGGGAGCCAGAAACTCCATCTGGGTCTCCCACACCAGTGCAGGGGCCCAAGCGCTTGGGGCATCTCCCACTGCTGTCCCAGGCTATTAGCTGGGAGCTGGACTGGAAGTGGAGCAGCTGGGATTTGAACCAGCGCCCGTATGGGATGCCGGCACTGCAGCACAGCACTGCCCAGGTGGTGATGTCGGAGCTGCCCCCCTGGGGCCTGTGCTATGCTGGGATGTGGGCAGAGCTCCTGTCTGTCGGATCCTGCATCCCGTGGCCATAGCCAGAAAACCCAGCCAGCAGAGCCCAGGAGTTACCCTGTTTCCTTCCTGGTGTGCAGTGAGACCCCAGAAAACATCCGGGCATGCACGGGCAGCAGTGTGGAGGGCACCTAGGGACCTTCTGAAGAGGCGGCCAGGTGGGGTTGACCTCTGGACGTGTGGAGCTGACCAGAGCAGTGGCCACAGGGCTCCGGGTAGCTCAGGCCCTGTGCTGTTGGTGTCTGAGTGTGGGTGGGTGAGTGCGGGCTGCTCCCGCCCTGGGTCTGGCGCCTTCAGCTAGGGGCTGTGCCTTGCCAAGGAGCCCCGGCCCCCGCTGTGTGTGTGTGTGCACGTGTGAAGGTGCGTGTTGTGTGTGCCTGTGGGAGTGTGGGTGCTGTGTGTGCATGTGTGAGCACCCGTGAGCGTGTGTGTGTGCACATGTGAAGGTGCGTGTTGTGTGTGCCTGTGGGAGTGTGGGTGCTGTGTGTGTGTGTATTGTGTGAGTACCCGTGAGCGTGTGTGTGTGCACGTGTGAAGGTGCGTGTTGTGTGTGCCTGTGGGAGTGTGGGTGCTGTGTGTGCATGTGTGAACACCTGTGAGCGTGTGTGTGTGTGCACGTGTGAAGGTGTGTGTTGTGTGTGCCTGTGGGAGTGTGGGTGCTGTGTGTGTGTGTATTGTGTGAGCACCCGTGAGCATGTGTGTGTGCACGTGTGAAGGTGTGTGTTGTGTGTGCCTGTGGGAGTGTGGGTGCTGTGTGTGCATGTGTGAGCACCCGTGAGCATGTGTGTGTGCACGTGTGAAGGTATATGTTGTGTGTGCCTGTGGGAGTGTGGGTGCTATGTGTGCATGTGTGTGTAGTGTGTGAGCACTGTGAGCGTATGTGTGCACATGTGAAGGTGTGTGTTGTGTGTGCCTGTGGGAGTGTGGGTGCTGTGTGTGTGTGTTGTGTGAGCACCCGTGAGCGTGTGTGTGTGTGCACGTGTGAAGGTGTGTGTTGTGTGTGCCTGTGGGAGTGTGGGTGCTGTGTGTGTATGTGTGTATTGTGCGAGCACCCGTGAGCGTGTGTGTGTGTGCACGTGTGAAGGTGCGTGTTGTGTGTGCCTGTGGGAGTGTGGGTGCTGTGTGTGTATTGCATGAGCACCTGTGCGTGTGTGTGTGTGTGTGCACGTGTGAAGGTGTGTGTTGTGTGTGCCTGTGAGAGTGTGGGTGCTGTGTGTGTATGTGTGTATTGTGTGAGCACCCGTGAGCACATATTTGTGTGCACGTGTGAAGGTGTGTATTATGTGTGCGTGTGAGTGGGTACTGTGTGTGCGTGTGTGTGTGTTGTGTGTGCGTGTGTGTTGTGTGAGCACCCGTGAGCATGTGTATGTGTTGTGTGTGCATGCGTGTTGTGTGTGCCTGTGGGAGTGTGTGTGCGGTGTGTGTGTGTGAGCGTGCCTGTGGGTGGTGAGTGTGAGATGGTGTGGGAGAGTGAGGCAGGCAGCCCTGGACGGGGCACAGGGGACACTGGCCCGGCTACAGAGCAGGTCCTAGTTGCCCTGTGGCGGCCCCTCGGGTGCCTGGGCACCGTGTTGCTGCATGCACCTTGGCCTCCCTTCTGGCTGCGTCTCCGTAGCTGCCTTGAGACTCCCTAGGGACGGGTTGAAGCTAAGCCCAGTCCCAGCCCGGCCGCCGCCCTGCAGTGTGAGCAGCGTGGCTCTTGGCTGAGAGCAGGAGTCAGCACCTGGCGGCTGTGGCGGGCGGTCCCGGTCGCTGGTGCCTGGGTGAAGGGCCTGTTCTGCTGACCCCGCCCCACCCCAGCTCCAAGGGCATGTCCCTGTGCTCGTCCACCCCACAGGCCTGTGCTGCAGGGAGCGTGCCAGCTCCTGGGAGCCCCAGGGCGGCCCTGGGTGCCTGTCTGTCTGCAGAGGCCCGCGTCTGCCCAGCCCGATGCTGATGGGTGCTCTGAGCTGGGTTTGAAGGACAGCTGTGTGCTCCACTGGGACCCGCACCCTGCAGCTCCGTCTCCCCTTGCAGGCTCCTCGGGTGACGAGCCCCCGGGCGGGAGACTGCGGAAGCGGAGCCTGGGCCAGTATGACAACGATGCCGGGGCACAGGTGCCCTTCTCCAGGTGTGGCCGGGGGAAACCAGCTGTGGACGCGGCCCCTGGCCTGGTGCCTTTCTCCTCTCCTGCAGACGTCAAAGAGGTGCGTCCTGCGGCCATCCATGTCTCGTTCCCACCTCCTCCTGTCCTGGGGTTTGGTGGACACTTGCTTCCTCTGTGATGGGCGGGTGCAGTGGGTGGGAGTCCAGGTGTGTGGTGGGCAGACAGCCTGGGTGCTGTGTGGGCAAGGCCACCTTGCACTGGCCGCCCATGCCTCTGCGTTCTGGGCTGTGGAGTGGGCACACGGGCGGGTTGTGAGGGTTAGAGGTCGCACAGCGATGATCCTGGCCTCAGGACTCCCTAGATGGACGGCACCCCCAACGCGAGCACACCCTTCCTCCCGGCCATCCCACGGCCCGAGGACAAGGCCCATCGACAGGTGTCTCTGACCTCTTGGGAGACTAGTTCCAGCTTCTAATCAGAATCAGAGACAGGTCATGGCATCCAAAATGTTTGATCTTTTAAATGGACTTTGCTTATCCTTCCGTTGGGAGACCGGGAACTTCAGGGTAGCTGGGAAAACAGAGGCGTCCGCAGTGCCGGCTCTACAGAGAGAAAGCGGCCGGCATTGTCCCCGGGCGCGCTGTGTCGTAATCCGGGCCGTGTCTCGTGAATCTCTGAACACCGCACACGCGTCCCTCCACAGCCGGGGGGCGGGGGAGCGGCCAGAACCCCCCAGGGTCCCAAGTTTGCAGCTGCTGCAGCCCCAGCGGTGAAGGGCGAGCGTGCGTGGAACCCGTGCACATTTCCCGTGTGCCTGGAGTCGCAGCTGCTGCCTCGGCGAGCGCGTGGCTGCCAGGCTGCGCCGCTGCAGCAGGGTCTTGACGGGACCACTACATGCACAGTGTGGGTGCAGCTGTCCTCTTCTCAATCTTTTCTTTTCAGTTAATTAATTAATTAGAGAGGCGGTAAGAGTGGGCAGCGGAGGGGAGAGAGGTCAGTCTTCCATCTGCAGGTTCACTCCCCAGCTGAGCCAGACCAGAGCCAGGAGCCCAGAATCCCATTAGGGTCTCTCACGGGGGTGCAGGGGCCCAAGCACTTGGGCCGTCTTCTGCTGCTTTCCCAGGCCACAGCAGGGAGCTGGGTGGGGAGTGGAGCAGCCGGGCCTGACCCTGTGTTCTGATGTGGGATGCCGGCGTTGCAGGAGACAGCTTGACCCTCTGTGCCACGACTTTTCCCGGTGCTTCCTCCCCACGATTGGTTGCCTCTGTGGGCGCTGAGCCAGCGGGTGCGGAGGCTGGCCGCTGCCCGTGGTGCAGTTACTCCATCCTGCTTTCGCTTGAATGCGGGAATGCTGATTTCCAGGTGCTGCCGCAGACAACTCTGTCAGTGCCGTGTGGCTCTGCGTTGTAAGGACACAAGACACCCCCCCCATGGCTCCCAGTCCCCGTGCCTGGGGGCGGGGAGGCTGCCTGCCGAGGGCTCCCGCCATAGCCAGCCTGGGGGCCGCCGCTGGGTGTGGCCTCCCCGACTCCTGCTCTCACCTGTCCTCCTCTCCCTGTCCATTCCAGACAGTGGTCACTGCATACCCGCCAGACCTGGACGTGTGCGACGGCCGGGCGCCGAGTGGCAAGGAGCCTGTGTGTGCGACCCCGGTGTTCCCCGTGTCTCCAGAAACCGCGTACGGTAAGAAAGGTGGGGCGGGCTCTGTGCCGCGGCCGCCTGTGCCTCGGCCACGGCAGGGAGCCTGACGCCGCTGGCTGTGCACTCTTCCAGGGAAGACGCCCCTGCGCTGTTCCCCGTTCAGCCCGCCCGAGGCCCTGCGGAGCAGCCCGGCCACGCCGCACCCAGGAGGGCACGGTAAGGACCCCTGTGCCGGCCACGGCTGCACCGGGACACTGTCCTCTCGTGCCTCAGAAGCCACAGTGAGACAGTCTGGCTGTGGACGGTGTTGGGGGGGCAGTGACTGGCGCTGGGTGGCTCTCCGGTGTCCCTGTGCAGCCTCCCGTGTACCGTGTGGATGCGTGTTTATGAGAGCAGCAGTGGCCTCCTACTGCAGCTCAGCACGGTGCTTCTGACCTCCCGTCTATGCAGAGTGTGAAGAAGCAGCCAGAACACCCCACTCTGTCCTGAGCACGTGGTGCCCGCAGAGAGCCAGTTCTCTGTGTGCTGGACAGCCCGGGACCCGGCCATGCTCCCTCTGCGCTGCGGGCTTGGCCTTGTCTCTCCGGGGAGCGGCTGGGTGCCCCATTGGCACCACTCTGGCATCCCCGGCCTAGTCGGCGGTCTTGCCCCGGCAAGCCTTGGGGAAGGGGTGGCCAGCGTACGGGCGAGTCCCCGCGGCAGGTTTTGCGTGGACCAACGTCTTGTTTCCCCTGGAGAGCTCCGGAGAGGCCAGGCTTGGGCAAGTGCAGAGAGGATGTCTCCGAAAATCGCAGTTAATTTTTGATTGCTTATTCTTCAAATCATTTACTTATTTTAAAAATGTTATTTGAAAGTCAGAGAGAGAGGAGAGAGAGAGGGAGGGAGAGAGTGAGCGAGCGAGCGAGTGCTTCTCTCCAGTAGTTCTCTCCCCAGAGGGCTGCAGCAGCCAGGGCGAGGCAGGGTTGAGCCAGGACCTTGGAACTCCACGCAGGCCTGTGCGTGGGGGGCAGGGACCCCGCTTCTTGAGCCGTCCCCTGCTGCCGCCCAGGGTGTGCGTTAGCAGGAAGCTGGATCAGAAGTGGGGCCGGGGCTTGAACTCAGGCCCTCCGGAGCTGGTAACGGTTGCTCAGCACGCCTCCTGGGACTGAGATCTCGTACATGGTGTGCACAGCCTGCCCCGCGTGCGGGCAGGTGCGGTGAGGACGCTGGCTCTGTCTCCCTCCCTGCCCGGGGCATGGCATGTCTTCCCCTGAGCCATCAGGGCCCACAGATCCGCTAAACACAGCGTTTCCAGCACAGTGGCCGAGCTCAGTAAGGAAAACCACGTACGTGCTCCCACCCTCTGATCGGGCTTTGCTGCGCGAGCTTTGTGTGAGGAGGGTGCCTGCTCTGGTACACACACATGTGTAGCCACGCGTGTGTCCTTGCCTCCGTGTGATTCAGGTGCAGCCAACGTGCGGCCTTCCCTTCGGCCCATACGGCCCAGCCCTCAGCAGAGCGGCCCACGCGCGGCTCCTAGCCTGAGTGTGCTCGGTGGGTTTGGACGAGAACCATCCCTCTGGCCTGGAATCCCATCTCCTGCGACGCAAAAACACAGGTTCACGGGAAACACGCAGGTGACACGCAGGGAGGAGGCTCGCAAGTGCCACGCGGAGCTGCCGTGACGCAGGCCTCACCGGTCACGTGCTGAGCCTCTTGTGACCTGAGAAGCCGAGGGGCAGGCGTGTCTGATGGCTGTGGTCATGGCCTGTGTGCCGAGGGCGGCCCCGACGCCCGCACGTCACAGGCTGCGGGCAGCAAACGCACCCTCAGGACTGCCCACGTGCACCGTGCACGTGTCCACACACGCAGAAGGTCATTGTGCAGCCCAGTTTCTGCTTCAGCGGGCAGCGCAGTGCACAGCAGCTCCTCGTCCGTCCACCAGGAGCGCGGGGCAGTGGTCCTCGGCTCCTGACCAGAGACCCCGCCCGCTCTGTACAGGATGACTTGGTCCCTGGGCTGCACAGGGTGGCTCTGTGGGCCTTCCTATCTGCCCATTTTACAGATGGGGTAGCTGACATGGAAAAGTGAGTTCCCTCAGCCGCACAGCAGGGGGAAGGCCAGACCCCAGCGCAGGCAGCCTGGCTCCCCAGCCCCTGATGGGTTATTCTGGCTTGCCTTCTGGCCAGCATGGGTGGGACGGAATGCCATGGCTGATGGAACACGCGGAGTGTGTTTGCCGGGGACCTTACAAACCTCCCAGCTTCATCTGCAAACGTAGACAGCCGGTGTTTGCCGTGTGGTCATGAACTGTTGTCCGGGAGGCAACCATAGCAATGCCTCTTGTGTGTCACAGCCAGGCACGTTGTTGTGTGTGAACAAGATTATTTGCTTTAAAGACGCTGGCGAGAGGCCTCGCGTCCTGGAGAGTGGATTAGACAGAGGGTGGGTTTTTCCTTATTCCTCCTGCTAAGTACAGATGAAACCCTGGACAGCATCTATGGAACAAGTCTCAGAAAACTCTGAGGGAGAGGAGAAGGCCAGCCAGCCCGGGGTCTCAGGGCAGGGCCTGGGGACGTCCACGTCCGGGGCCGTGACACAGCTGGACACGAATTGAAGCCATTCAGAGGATGCTCTCCAACAGTAATGGACTCCGACTGGAAATCGGTCCAGAGAGGCAACAGGCAAACCTTCAATCGCTTGGAAACCAAACACCCCCTTTATGAGTAGCCTGTGGGCCAGGAACATCCTGCACTGAGTGAGAGTGAGCGGGAGACCGGCTAAGGCCCGAGCGGCGGGCACAGCAGGCAGTGCACACAGCGGACAGCGGTCTGCGCTCTGCGGGAATAGGGTGCGCTCTTGCCTCTAGTGGGGAAAGGGGAGGAAACGAACCCCGAGGGTCACAGAAAATAAAAGTGGCGTCGGTGAAGGCAAAGCTGAAACCGTGGAGAAAGTACACGGAAGATCCGGTGCTCTGAGATCGACAGCGCTGGCGAATCTAGAGGCGCACAGGAGCCAGCGTCCCACGCTCCGCAGGTGGCGAGGGCGTCCGCTGCGGCTCCACCCTGATCTCTAGAACCCGAGTGAGACAGACCAGTTCAGCACGAAGCAGGGCTGACAACCCTCTCAGTGGGAAACAGGCACTTCCAATGCCGCTATCACGGAAGTTAAATTAGTTACCAGCAAACTCCCGGCCGGCGCCGCAGCTCCCTAGGCTAATCCTCCGCCTGCGGTGCAGGGACACCGGGTTCTAGTCCTGGTCGGGGCACCGAATTCTGTCCCGGTTGCCCCTCTTCCAGGCCAGCTCTCTGCTGTGGCCCGGGAGTGCAGTGGAGGATGGCCCAAGTGCTTGGGCCCTGCACCCCATGAGAGACCAGGAGGAAGCTCCTGGCTCCTGGCTTCGGATCAGCGCGGTGCGCTGGCTGCGGCGGCCATTGGAGGGTGAACCAACGGCAAAGGAAGACCTTTCTCTCTGTCTCTCTCTCTCACTGTCCACTCTGCCTGTCAAAAAAAAAAAAAAAAATTAGCAAACTCCCCCGAAAAGAGACATCTCCAGGTCTCACTGGCGCGTCCTGACAACACTTCCAGAACTGCTTCCACGGGGTCCCTTCTGGGACAGAAGCAGAGGGCCGTGTCCCAGGTCGTTTGAGAAAGCCACCGTTACCCTGATTCCAAACCCTGACAACAGCGGAAACAGCAGCAGAGTGAGCTCCCTCGTGATGTAGGCACAGAGCTCCGTCAGCAATGCAGACAGATAGACTGGAGCCGTTGCAAAAGGAACCAACCCGTCCCACAGCGGGGTTTGTTCCAGGGATGAAGGCTAGGGTGCCGGAAGAGCCGCCGTGCGGCCCCACAGTGCAGGGTACAGAAGGTAAATCACGTGTTCTTATCCAGCAACGCAGAAAGCAAGAAGGACCCACAACACCCCCGGCCGTTCACGACCAAGAGCTTCCAGCGGCGTGGGCCTGGGGGAATCCCCTCGGCCTCCAACAGAGACCTGAGAATGCCGGAAGTGAAGCCCGGCCCCGGGCTGCAGGTTCCGCAGGGCACACACGAGGCACGGACGTCAGGACTGGGAAGGAAGACTGCAACTTTGCCTTTTGTGCCGATGACCTGATGACGTGATGACGCAGAGAATCCCAAGGAATCTATGCGAGAGAACCCTGGAACGGATACCTGAATTCAGCACGTTTGTGGGATATGAGGTCAGCTCACACGGGTCTGCGGTTTGTACATCCAAGAGACAAACACGTAGACACTGGGACGTAAGGTACGAAGCCAGTCATAACGGCCAAAGCGAAACCCCGAGGGACTTAGGGGTGAGCCTCACAAAGCTTGTCCGGGTCTTGTGTGCTGCCGACCGCACGGCACCGACCGCACGGCACCGACGAGACAGCAGAGGCCGCCTGCCCATGCGGTGGAGACGGCAGCCTGGGTAGGAGCCCAGTTCTGTAGCTGCCGACGGAACCCAGCAAGGCTGCGTGCGGAGTCAGACGGGACGCTGCCCTGGCTTACGTGGGAAAGCGGACGAGCTGAAGTGGCCAGACGGCCTGGGAAAGACCAGGTGGGAGGAGCGCGTTCCCCTGGTTCCCACCCTCGGGAGGGGTTCCCGACAAGCTCATGGATCATGTGAAATGCTTGGATTTCAAAATTCTTTGCACCAGAATAAACTCACTTTTTTTAAAAAATCTAATTTGAGGCAGAGGGCAGGGAGACAGTGAGAGACAGGGAGAGAACCCTCATCAGGTGATTCACTCCCCAAGTGCCCACAATGGCTGCAGCTGAGTTAGGAGCCACAGGCGGAGCCCAGAACTCACTCCCTGGTGGGAGGGAGGCAGGGACCCAGCCGCTCGAGTTGTCACCTGCGGCCTCCGAGGCTGTGTGTTGGCGGGCAGGCTGGAGTCAGGAGCTGGACCAGGCCGTAACCCGGCACCCACCCCACACAAGGCTGTGTGTTGGCGGGCAGGCTGGAGTCAGGAGCTGGACCAGGCCGTAACCCGGCGCCCACCCCACACAAGGCTGGCCTTTGCTTCTACTTGCCACTGTTTGCAGTTGCCCGTATTACACGGCTCCAGCGATCGGGCGTGGGGCCTTGGTGGAAGGAGGCCCGCGATCAGTGGAACACGGGCGAGAACCCAGAGTAGAGCCACACAGAATCCCCCGACGGCGCTGGGCGCCTGCAGGCGGGAGGACGAACCTCAGCCACGGTCCCCCTCGGCCTCTGAAAGGTCCCTGAA